CTGTCAGTAGCAATCTGATTCTTTGGCTACAGCCTGACTACTACTTGAACACAAGACAAGCACTTTCTAATGGCAAAGGTGGCAAATAACAAAAAAAGCAGAAAAACATCACCTCTAATCAATTACTGTATCTACCAACTACACATCTTATCTATTAGCAATGACAGTCACACAGGAATGTTCTTACTACATTTCTAGCATACAATACCGCCAAGTGTGCTAGATATGCACAGTATAGGCAAGCACTGCGCCTATACTGTGTAGTAGATTTCTGATCTTTGCTGGAAGTTAGGCAATATAACATGTAACTAGTAAGCCTACCACTCGATAATAAAATCATTTTCCTATAACATCAGTATGGATAGTATAAAATTCTCTGAGATACATATCCATCATAGGTGGGAGGAGGGGCAGTGTAACTGAGAGAGGAACTGAGCAGAAAAAGTGCTCCCATTACAATTATGTGATTTTTCTAAATCAGTATTTTTAATGTGTATGCATGGGGAGGGGTAGAGAGATAGTTGCACCATTTTATCTTAATATAAAGACAAAATGGCCTGCAAAATGGAATTTCTGGTTAATATCCAAAGATGTATTTGTTCCAGTGCTATTAGAACAAGTATGATTCTAGTCAATATCACCATCCAGAATTAAAAGACACAAGGCTTTATTAATGATGCAATGTCAAAATTAGAAATCGAAGTAGTAAATACTGATGCTAACAAGAAAAGGAGTTTTCCTTGGTTTTGACCTGAGAGAAAAGAAGCTTTTTCCTTTTTAAAACCTACTTATGTAACGACACTCTGGTAAAATACCTTGAACAAAAGAATACAGAGCAGCATTTATATTAACTTTATTAATTGTTTAGAGAACATACCTCTCAACCTGCATATTCAGCAAGGATTTAAATTTCTCTGCAACTTCTTGAGAACAAGAAAGTTATCTAAGCCACATTATCTTACTTTTTAGGGAAGTTACTCTTCTTGAAAACAGATTGGAATATTTACTATTTACTCTATTTACTATTGATTCTTGAACAGGCTTTATGTAAAATAGAACTAACTCTTTTTTTGACCTGTAAAAAAAAAAAATAAATTGTAAACCCCCCAGAGGGTGACATGGGTAGATTGTTTCCACATTACCATCACTTCTGTTGAAGGAGGTTTCCTATCTGCAAGATTCAAGGGGAAAAAAAAGCCTTGTAACTTTGGAAGAGACCTTAAAGATCATGTAGTTCTAATCCCCGTGCTATGGCAGGGACACCATTCACTAGACCAGGTTGCTCAATGCTCCATCCAACCTGGCCTTAAACACTGCCAGGGATGGGGCAGCCACAACTTCTCGAGGCAACCTGTGCCAGTGTCTCACCCACTTCACAATGAAAGTTTCCTCGTAACGTCTAACCTTAGTCTCCCCTCCGACAGTTTAAAGCCATTTGCCCTTGTGCTATCACTACATGCCCTTGTCCCCCCACCAGCTTTTTGTAGCCCCATTCAAGTACTGGAAAGCTGCTAGATCTCCCTGAAGCCTTCTCCTCTCCAGGCTAAACAAGCCCAACTCTTTCAGCCTGTCTTCACAGGAGATGTGCTTCAGCCCTCTGCCAGAAGTACTGCTTAGACACAAAAGTTGTTGACAATACCTATGACTCTTCCAGACAGCACCATCTCATTTGACTAGTACTTCAATGAGGAAAATAGTTAAGAGTCTTTAAAACAACAAAACAAATACAATACATGAAAAGGTATTTTAAAGGTTTTGTTCGCTTAATTCAGTTGCATTACTACTTCAAATAAGTTGTCTGCTAAACTCAGTATACCTTATTATTAGAACCCCATGCTGTGTGCTTTCTGTTCTATACATTTCTAATTAGAGTCATCAATAATCATTTAAGAACCAGATCTTGTTTTCTGCAGCAAGTTTATGGGTGATGTTTCTAAATGAAGATGCATGAAGTATAAACAATACAGCTTAATGCTCAGAAACTAGGTAAACTAAATCTAGAACAGGAAGCAGCTAGAATAGAAAACATTCGTATGAATTAATAGGTCCAATAACAGAAGTCAGAAATCTCTCAGAAATTTAGAGTGTTTGGTTAGAAGCTCAATTCTAACAATCTCAATATGCTCTTTCTCAAACATGATTTTCAATTAATATGTATATTGCTATTAGAAATTGCTATAATGTGCTATAAACATAATTTTATACTCTTTTCTCAAAAAGGTCTATATTTAAGTTTTGTTTTCACCGTATGTTCTAGAGCAATACTTGAACTCTAAAATAGATACAAGTAGAATAAATTAAGACTGATTAACATTAAATGGTACATTACATACATGAAACACTAGACTTAATAAGCTATTTCATATCATCTTGCTGTTCAGTTATGTAGGGGAAAAGAGAGATACATACATTTTTTAAAGTGTTTCACACTATTCTGTGCAGAACAACATTCTTAAAGAAAAAAAATACAATCAACTAAGGAACACTAGAGAGAAACTCAGAAACTTGTTCTGGTTTTCTCTAAAGGAGACTTCAGACATCTTTCTCATATTCTCCTCTGAAACTAGCCAGAAAAATTAAAGACAACTTTAGAATTTCATGCTTGATAACTGCTTTCTCATTTTCACTATGGATCACTGGCAAGGGGGGGGAAGTTATGTCCAGTAAAGTCAACCAGAGACTAACAAGTAACAAAAAAAAAAACCACCAAAAAAAAAAAGCAGGCTAATACCATTTCAATGCTCTCTTACTCAAAATACCTATAATCATTTTCAGTTTAGAAAACAAAAAGACCTCTTTATTATTTTACTTGTCTTTTATAATTGTCCCTAGAAGAGTCACATAAGATTTGTGAAATTCACATTTTAGCACTTTCATTTCAACCAAAGAGAACTAGGAGAACCAAGCAATCCTGGAACCTTCTTCTCCAACATAGCCACAAGGCTGAGCAGTGGGAATTCACATCTCTACAGCTGCCCGCAGATGCTCAAAGTCTGAAATTCACTGCATTATCCTTATATTCTTGGACTGTATTTCCATCAAAGAACAGACTAATATTTACTAGAAGAAATAATATTTATTCCAATTGAAAGCACAGATTTCTTGCTCATCAGAGAGAAAAAGACTCCCTTTACTAAGTGTCCTGGGTTCAGCAGTAGCAGTCATTTTTCTCCTTCTTAGTAGCTGGTGCAGTGCTGTTTTTGACTTGCGGCTGGGAACAGAACTGATAACACCGATGGTTTTAGTTGCGGCTCAGTTATGTTTAGTCTGATCAAGGACTTTCTGAGTCTCGTGCTCTGCCAGGGAGGAGGGGAAGCCAGGAGGAAGCAGAGACAGGACACTTGACCCAAACTGACCAAAGAGGTATTCCATACCACAGCACAACACGCCCAATATATAAACTGGGGGCAGTTACCCAGAAGGGTTAGATCACTGCTCGGTAGGGCTGGGTATCGGTCAGCAGGTGGTGAGCGGTTGTATTCTCTTCCCTTGTCAGTTCCCTTATCATTATTATTACTGGTGGTAGCAGTAGTGGTTTTGTGTTATACCTTAGTTACTGGACTGTTCTTATCTCAGCCCGTGGGAGTTACATCCTTTTAGTTCTCCTTCCCATCCCTCCAGGAGCGGGGGGAAGGAGAAGGGGGGGAATGACAGAGAGACTGTGTGGCTGACTGAGTTTATACCAGGACACCAAGTGATGCAAGAGTATTTTTCACGCCTCATGACAGAATTATCTTCACACCTGCTTCACCCATGAAACACAGAGATCCTTAATCTCAACAGCTGTGCGCTTAGCATTAGGTCACAGAAGAAGCATTCCTACGGTTTTGGTGAGATACATAGATAAGAATTTATAGCTTTCTGTGGGCATATCTGCATTTAACATATGACAAATGACATGAAACACAAACTTCACCTGCCATTTTAAATAGAGCTTGATCCCTGTTCAAGGCCAGGTTGGATGAAGTCTTGGGTGACATGGTTTAGTGTGTGGTGTCCCTGATCATGGCAGGTGGGTTAGAACAAGATGATCTTCAGGTCCTTTCCAACCCTTACTATTTATTCTGTGAGTCTATGTTGGCATGATGTTGTTTTGAAAGACATTTACTTCCACTTTCAAAAGCAAAGCACATAAAAAAATAAAAGGAACGATGCCTAAAATAATATCTTTTATTTGCCATTCTTCACATAATCAGACAAGCAATACTTTCTGGTTTTCCTGCTGTCCTGGGTTCAGCAGTAGCAGTCATGTTTCTCCTTCTTGGTAGCTGGTGCAGTGCAATGTTTTGATTTTCGGCCTGGGAATAGAGCTGATAGTGATGTTTTGGTTTGGCCAAGGACTTTGTGAGCCTCATGGTCTGCCAGGGAGGAGGGGAAGCCGGGAGGAAGCAGAGACAGGACACCTGACATAAACTGACCAAAGAGGTATGCCGCACCACAGCACGTCATGCCCAGGATGTAACTGGGAGTTAGCCGGAAGGGCTGGTAGACGGCAGGGTTGGAGGAGGTATCGGTCAGAGCTTGGTTGGGCTGAGGGGGGTGAGTTATCGGTTGGCTGGTGGTGAGGTGTTGTATTCTCTTCCCTTGTTATTTCCTTTATCATTATTATCATTGGTGGTAGCAGTAATGATTTGTGTTATACCTTAGTTACTAAACTGTTCTTATCTCAACCCGTGGGAGTTGCATTCTTTTCGATTCTCCTCTCCGTCCCTCCGGGAGCAGGGGGAGGGAAAGAAGTGGGGGAAGTGAGTGAACGAATTGCCTGACTGGGTTTAAACCACAACACCTGCTTTCCTTGACATGAACACCAAAGTAGACTCCTAACCAAGATGACCATCAGGATACAAGACAAAAGAGGTATAAGCAAAGGTACAGCAGATCTTTTGAAAAATGCCTGTGTTGGTAATTCCAAGTTAAAGTGTTAGCTAGATAGTAAAACTTCACACATTCAAAAATACCAAAATACTTAAACAAGTTATATACAGTTAAAGAGGACTTACTTTTATTGTAGCAGGTTGCTAGTACACCTTTATCTGCAGGACTGGTACTAATGTGCCAAATTTCACCCACTTGATGAAGGAGAACGTTTTTGTTTATAATGTTATTTTCATCATCAAAGTCTATGATGTGAATCTGCAAATACAATAAAAAAGAACATTAGGGTTTCAAATGCTTTCCTGTGGGTCTTAATAATACATGATGACTGCACAGAACAATTTAATGAGAATTTTATAACCGGTATCTACTTTAATTAATTGTTATCCTAACAATTCCGTATATCATTGATTTCATGCAGGATTAACTTTTCCAGAAAAAAACACAAGCAATTTCCCTGTTTTGAGGAAATACTATGTTTGTTCTTCTCAATTTTGCAACTTTAAGCTTGAAGGTGATTTTTCATTTTATGTCTAACAGTAAATAAGCCACTTGCATTGCAATTCAACACTTCTTATAGCAATAAACAGAAATAACCACATTGCAATCCTTAGTCTAAATGTCTTCACCAATTCTGTATCTAAACCGTTGTATTCAAACAACCTATGCAGAAAGGTGGGGAGAGAGGGAAAGAACTCTCATTTCAAACAAACGCTGTCAACTCAGCAAGAAACTTCCTCAGAGTTCACTTCAGCAATCACATACCTGTACCAACATATAAATCTGTAATACTTTTTGTATTATATGGAAAAATAAAAACATTGAACTGAAAGATGAAGAAAAACAATAATGTTTAAATATATAAGTTAGGGTTTTAAGAGACAGCTAGGTTTGATTTTTGTAATTTTGATTTTTTGGGGGGTTTTTGTCTTGGTTTTTTTAACAGGTCCACATTATTTTCATTTTTCCTCCTGATTTTTACTTAGTTGTTTTTGTATAGTTACCTCATAAACAGAAGAAATTGAGAAAGATTCTAGCCTAGCACATCATATACAGGTAACTTTACTCATGGGACTAATTCTGCTAAGTTCAAGAGTGGACAAATAAATTCTAGAAGACTTACAGTTTCCAGACAACTGTATCTCCATTAAAAATTCATCAGCAAAGTCAGGTGAATAATGAAGAGAAAACAAAAAAGTAAGACATCTCATCACAATGACCGAATTAAGTCTACTGAACAACTGCAAAAATCTTAGCTACAGAATATAGAAAATTTTCTTAAAATACAGAAGCTGCTAAACAGGTCTCAAGCCTAAATTGGTTATATTACATATCACCTTCCCCCCCCCCGCCCCCCCCAAGGACTGAGCTTACATGTCATCTTTTTCTTTCACATCCAAACACTGTCACCAGTAACTCCTCCTTGAAATATAATGCTAGATCCTCATCACCTTACATTATTCTTCCATTCTGTAATCAAAGGCATATAAGCACTTCTGTATGTGATTAGCAAGTTGTCTTTTCAGACTTCATTTGTTGCCCTGAACCTAGAAACCCATCCAGGAATCGGGACACTATACATAAACCCCAACAGCTGCCTATCAATCTCCTATCTTGCCCTGAATCTAGAAACCCATCTAGGAGTCGGGACGCTATACATAAACCCCAACAGCTGCCTATCAATCTCCTATCTTGCCCTGAATCTAGAAACCCATCTAGGAGTCGGGACGCTATACATAAACCCCAACAGCTGCCTATCAATCCCCCTGTCCAACTCAAAGAGTGACCCTCATGCATTTCAAAACTCTCTAGAGTAACATCACTTAGATTTACCTACTGTTTCACTTTATTTTGGCATTCTGTACATTCCCTCTCTGACCTATTCCCTGTATCATAATTCAAAGGTTTAGTCTATACAGAAAGTTCTTGCTCCTTTCATTAGATATCAGTTTAACCTCATCCCCTGGTTTTTGGTTTTAGGGTTTTGAATAAAGAAATTATCTATTCAACCTTCTATGCTGTTCTTATTAGATACGTTTTGATGTTGTGAATAAGCTTACAACTCAAACAGTTGACAATCCAAACAGCTACTTTACAAGCATGAACTGGAAGGCAAACAATACCAACATACTCACAATTCTAAGATAAAACAATTTTAATAGCAAGAAGAGTAACTCCTGCTGTTATTTTTACAGAGCAAAATAGTTATAATTGGCTTTAGCATAATAGATGGGAGGGGATATCTCAATTTACTGAACTGGGTATTTAACAGAGAAACAGTGTGAACTATGCAAAGGTATATCAGGAAAAATGGGGGAGAAATACAGCCCTCCACTGGAGTCACTGAAGTGTCCTGTAGCAGCTCAACTCAAGCCTCTAACGGTGAACCACAAATCGAAGTCATATTTACAAATCACACGCATTCTCCACCCACACTAAGCAGGTTAAGAGGGTTACTCAGCACATAAGCTAAGGGAGAACTCTTAACTACCCTGTCTAAAGCTCCACGAAGGCATAGATAACCAATTATTCCTCTGCTGTTACACTTCTGCTTCAGTTGACATCATGAATAGCTACTGGAACACATAGTTAGTCAATCACATGTCCAGACTGAGACTTTTAGAAAATACAAAACCTAATTCTTATGCAAGGGTATTGTTTATACCTTTCCAAGTTGAAAAATTACATCCTTCACAGCTACGTCAAACAACACAGCCTACTAGAAAAAGCTGATCAGCTTAACAGAAAGAACTGCAAAGGTTCCCCAACATTTTTCTACTAAGGATCCTCATCATGATGTTGATTTAAATACATGATACATTGTATTCATCAAATGGAATAGTGACTTTACTAAATACTAAGGACAAAAGAGTTTCTGCAGAAAATATACTAGTACCAAATACTGCACTGGTGTGATACCATGAAGACAAATATTTGCAGAAACGAATATTCATCTGTAAAAACTGCCTGACAGAACTGGACAAATTTCAGTTCTGTAGACTGTCCTTCAGTTCCTGAATCATGATCTTTCTAACCTTTCTTGATGGAGTGTAAAAATGTGCTTTACCATGGATTAGTTAGTACAGCATATGGACACCACAGGTGTGGATATAAGAAACAGTAAGTGAGAACTTTCTCAACATGATTGTAGCATAATAGTTAATGCTACATGAATCATAACTCTTGTGGAAAAAGGCCTTTGAAGAGACTGGTTTTATCACCAGTAAATAAACAAATGAGTTAACAACCTGATCTAATTACACTGGGGAAGATTTTCATTGAACACAAGCCTAAGTATTGAGGAAAACTATTTAGTTCTCCTCAAAATCTGGAGGAATTATGAATTGCTAAGAAACAGACTAAAACTAACCAATTTCAACACAAAATATTCCTTTTTCTTCACCTATGCAATCTCCATAATTTATTTTCTTTCAGCAAGCACTCATGGGCAGCAGAGACTGAGGAATTGTTTTAGTTTGGCCAATGATCTGTTTTGTACCTATATTAAATGTAAATTTGTGCCTGTATATTAAGTTAAATCATAAAAATAACTATATTAGGTTCTAATGATGTCAGGGATGTCAGTCTTGTCAGTCATCTCTGAGACTGAGATGTCAGGGAATGAGAGAGGTAAGAAAACAATAAGTGACGTATACTGCCTTTATGTTTCCAAAGCATTCAGTAAATGCATCAAACTAAGAACAATATAAAAAGCCACAGTTTAACAACAATGAAACAACACAGTTTAACACCAATGAAAGGACTGAGGACAAAAGTTCTAAAAGGACACTGTGCAGAACACCATGCAAATACAGACTACTTAAGCAATTTCCAGGGAGTTATGAGGACCAAGTGACAAATACCACACACTTTTAGTATCTCAAATATTGACAAAATATAAAATTGTGTAAACAATTCTCTTCCTTTGAAATACCAGTGTTAATAGGAAAATAGTTTCACCAGATCTCTTGCAAATGCCTAAATTGCTTCATACAGCAATAAACGTCAGTGACGCAGAAGTTACCATGCCAGCTATCATGTACAGAAGTTATCATGTACAACTACTGCACTACCCCTTCCTGTGACGAGAAGGGAAGAAATATTCTGCACATGATGGCACTGCCTAAGAAAACTCTCGCAGTACAATACTTGGTCAAGCACTAGAGATTACAAGGAAGCTCCTAAGTTAGGTCAGGTAACTAAAAAAGTTTTTAAGCAAATCTAGAGAATTTAGTGCTGAATTAAGCAATAATGACTTGAGGCGTAGGGCACTTCCTGGGGATTATCAACTAGCTGAGAGGAGCTGATGGCCTGAGGCACAGCTAAAGGCCCATAACCTCCAAACATTTGTTAATACACCTGGAAGTGTCCTGCATTTCTATCAATGTTATTCATTAGAAAAAGAAAACCATACTCAAAATACGTGTAAATATATCCAAAATACATAGTATATGTCCAATCAACTTACCTAAATCAGAACACTTAAATTAGTGAAGATCTGCTAGATATCAACTAGTGAGAATCAGTCTCCAAGTTTGTATCAAGATTTAATTAGTTGAACCAAGAAGTAAACCAAAAACCAACAAAACAAAACACATAGAAATCACAGTAGAAACCACCTTATAACCAAATGCCTGAAGAACATCTGAGACCCTACAAATATGGGATTGTGTGTATTTATTTTTAACTAAGTTTGTCTGCCTCTTCTTTTGTTTCTGGTCTCACACGTTATTACCCGAAATGTAAAAAAACTGAATACTCCACCGCCTTAGGCCTCTGAATATTTTTTTTCCTTGAGTCTCATCTGGTATTATCTTTGAATAACAAACTCAAAACTTCATTGGGAATTGACAGCTCACATCTTGCAGAGATATATATATAGTTCCGAATTCGTTTTGTGCAGTCCATTACTTCAGAAAAACAGGTGACTGTATCCATTCTAGGGGCTTCTGTGGTGGGTGGTAGCCTTGGCTTCCACCCAGCCACTTACTAATTTGGCAGTGGGAAAGAAAACCCTTAAACCAACACCATCTTTCCCCACCTTTCCTAGGTTTAACTTCACTCCAGACTGCTTCAACGCCCTGAAAGCAGCACAGAAGAGTGCAGGGCAGTGGTGGCTATGGTCAGTACATGGGCCACAGCTCCTTCAGGAACACCCACCTGCTCTGGAACAGGTGTTCCCCAAGCTGCAGTGGATACCTGCTCCACTGTGTAGTCCTTCTGATTTCTCCGCTCTTTTAAGTCTTTGTTCCCTCCTGTTTCCTTCCAGCATTTCTTCCTTTCTTGTTTTCACAAAGCTGCCAGCAGGCTGACTGGCTCAGCTGTGTTCCGTGGCAGCCCCTGGCCTCTTCTCATGGAGGCCACCACTGCAACACACCTGATACCAAAGCCTTGCCACCTGCTCTCAATACAACTAATTCTTCTGGCCTCAAAATATTCCTTCTGTGTGAAGGCATTTACTGAAATTTAGTCACAAAAATTAAAATTGCTGTACAATTAGAAGTATTGTACTCTTAACTGCAGAGGAAACAGACTAACAGAAACTGAGCCACAGAAGTCTCTTAAATCATTGTTAAACTTATATCAGAAAGGACAGTTGACTGCCAGTAATTAATAATGAAAAATCCAGTTTATGAAGCTTCACATACACAGAACTGTGCACATACCAGGAGTCCCATTAGAGGCAATCAAGACTTAAAGACTTTCATTTTATTTTGTATCTCTTCTGTGATCTAAAGATAGCTCCAGAGAATCTAAAGATTTAAAATAACAAAAATATGGCAGTTTCTTTACTAAACCAATCCGATTTAGTCAGACAATTCAGAAGAGTCATTTAATCTTCAGAAAAATACACATAGCTTTAATTCACTCACATTTCTTACCAATATCTTTACATTCTATTTACAGAAGTCTTCAACTTGACTGTATCTTAATGTTCAAATTCAATGGGGGGGAGGTGGGGGAGGAAGGAAAAGGAATGATATTAGAACAATGTCCTAAAAAAAAAAAAAAAAAAGAAGAAAAAAATTACAACTGACATTTGACAGAAAAATTACCTGATTATCATATCTAAGAGACTGTGTTCCAACCAAAAATCTTATTGCATCTGTTTCTGCTGTCTGAGGTGTTAAAGCTCGTGCCTAGGGAAGAAGAAAGCCATTAGAAAAGTCCAATTAATACAATCTGTTAATTTAAAAAAAAAACAACTTGAAGCTTATATATCAAATATCATGCAAAACATGACATTCATGCAAACTGCAGACCTTCCTGCCCTCTATATCTATTTTGGTTAACACATTTTCTGTGCAGTTTCTCAGATTTGTGAGGTGTATGGAACATACAGGTGCTGAATGCATTATAACAGTGGTAATACTTGATATTCATAGAACTGTTTGGGGTGGAAGGAACCTCAAAGATCACCCAGTTCCAAACCCCCTGCCATGGGCAGGGACACCTCACACTACACCAGGCTGCTCAAAGCCCCATCCAACCTGGCCTTGAACAGTGCCAGGGATGGGGCAGCCACAACTTCTTGGGGTAACCTGTGCCAGTGCCTCACCACCCTCATAATAAAGAATTTCTTCCTTATGTCTCATCTAAATCTACCCTCTGTCAGTTTAAAGCCATTTCCCTTTGCCCTGTCACTACATATCCTTGTACAAAGTCCCTCTCCAGATTTCTTGTAGGCTCCCTGTAGGTACTAGAAGGCTGCTAGACCCTTATCTTCGCCAGGCTGAAAAAGCCACGTTCTCTCAACCTGTCTTCATGGAAGATGTGCTCCAGCCCTCTGAGTATCTTCACGGCCTTCCTCTGGACTCACTCAAGCAGGTCCATGTCCTTCTTACGTTGCAGGCCCCAAAGCTGAACAAAGTACTCCAGGTTGGATCTCACAAGAATAGAGGGGGAGAATCACCTCCTTCAATCTGCTGACCACACTCCTTTTGACACAGCCCAGTATGCGATTGGCTTCCAGGGCTGCATGTGCACACTGCTGGCTCATGTTGAACTTTTCACCAAGCAACACCTCAGACCTGGTCTCAATACATCCTCTGCCCAGCCTGTAGCTGTGTTTGGGACTGCCCTGACCAAGGTGCAGAACCTTGCGCTTGGCCATGTTGAACTTCATGAGCTTAGCACAGGCCCACCTCTCTAGCCTGTCCCACTGGGGTCCCACTGGATGGAATCCCTTCCCTCCAGTTTAATTATCTCCATATTATAGTAGTACTTCCAAACTAATTCTCCTTTATCAACTGAAAAAACTCCACAGAACAGTGGCCAGTTCTTACATATGTTTGCTACAATATCCAGGAAAGGGACTGCTGTTGCAGAAGTTTTCACATCATTCAGACTGAAGATGCCTGCATGAAAATGAATTATTTTTCTCACCATTAAGAACCAAGTTTAGAAGGAAGTTAAAAACTAAACTCCTTCCTTGCCTCTGCAGACCACTGGATATAAAAACTGTCAGGATGACAGGAGAAATAATTTATTATTTACCTTTTCCAACTTGTACCAACCAGTCTTGGAAGAACCAAAACATAACAGTTAAGGGCCATAGAAGACATTGAGAAATAAAGTATAGCTTGATCTAAAACCACAATTGCTAGTTTGCACTAGTCATTAGTAGAGGTTCTCTTAGCTAATTTTGAGTAATTGGGAGGTAAACTTAACACTCAAAGGCACTTTTAATAACCATAACTAAACTGTGAAGAATATCCACTACTTCCCCATGCAAAAGATACCCTGATGTTATTGTTCAATGCAAATTTTTTGTCAAAACAGAAAAAACAAGCCTTTGCAATTCACATCCTATCTGACATAAAGGACTTCACATTTCTTCAGACACTAAAGCCTGTATTGCAAGCAAATATTTCAGACGAAGTCAGGGCTGTTGAATGGCATTTCCTACTGCCATCCTATTGTGCAGCCAGTTAATGATTACATTCTGGATTCAGGATCATTTAGCTTCAGTATAGTCCCGTTTGATACTTATTTCAAATACTCCCTTCCAAGCTTCTAGGCATCTTTCTGACATTAATATAAAAATACATTGTATCACAATACATAAATTTGGAACAATTTAATTCTAGAATAGCAACTTGAAGAGATTTGATTTTTCTTAAATAAGGCAAAGCAATCTAAGCCATTGCCTGGCAGTAACAATAAGAACCAATTTCATTTTTTAGAATAAGGCCTGAACTCCTATAGAGCAGATGTCTCATGTTGCTTCTGAAATGAGTGATTTAGACAATATTTTATTTAAGATTGAGTATATATAAAGTTAAATAAAAAAAAGACAATGAGCTTACTAAGTATAGGCTAGTAGCATAACATTTATACAGAAAAAAAGGGATTAGAGAACATGATTTAGTGAGCAGTTTGTGTTCAAAACATACCCAAATGAGGATCAGAGATCAGTGTGAATCTGTTCCGATTCGTTTGTACTGTCTTATGCAGCACTTACCTACAAAAAGCCTAGACAATGTTTCTGATTGACAGAAACAACTAAAGTCCACCAAGAAGACTGCAAAAAGCTTTTATTTTGTCTTGAACAGAATTTACAGACCTTTGGCAAGAGCTCCTTTTCATTTCAGATCTGCTTTCAATTATTTTGAAGAAAACACTAGAAATAAACAAACAGCTATGTATCTTCAATCAGGCAAGCTTCTTTTGTTTAAGTCAAGCAGAAGAGACCTCCAGAGGAGTTCACCCCTTTTAAAACCTTTTGAGTAGGTCTTAGCATGCTGCTTTCAAAAAGCATGATTAAAAAAATCAAAACCATACACTAACCCCAACATCTGAATATTTGTACTGCATTTAATACAATCCAAAGAATTTCTGCAACCGATATATCATTTGAAATTCATAAAATCAATCTGTAGTAACAAGCAGTGAACTTGCAATACAAAATGTGAAGGACACAGTATTTGGTTTGCAGTCCCCAAATCTGAATTTAAAGTTGTTTGACCATCTGCTTATGCTAAATACAAGAAATATTATACTGCTACTTTGGTGATGCCTCATTCTGGAGGCAAAAAACAAGTTCTCCCCTACCCTAGAGAAGGCCCAGAGTGCTCATGTCATGAATATTATTTTTGACTTCTGGCATAGTTTCAATTTTCAAGTAGGTACACTTTGAATTTTACTTAGGACAGCCTTGCTTCTCCCACCACAGCAAGAGACCCGCTGTCAGTGGCTATAATAATAAGCTGCAGTGACTCCAGAGGCTGGCAGCACACATGTCCAGGTTACCTTTGGTGCTCTCAGACAGCTGCTTTCCCCAAGTCTTTCACAGCACAAGAATTCCCACCACTGATGTATTTAGTGCTCTGACCCTATTCCAAAGGCTGACAGCCTAAACCCTCCCAGCAACATATGGAACACTCAGACAAAGTCTTACATAGCACAATTATCCTTAGAAATCCCATTTGTCATGAACTATAATGGTAAACAATCATCTTTTAGCAGTTCCTTCAAGTTCACATAACTATATCTTCATATTGTCATTAGTCTGTACCATACCTAATATTAGTAATATCTTGCCAATTGCTTTAGGGGCCTAAAAGATATATTTTCCACCTAGTTCACTTCATGCATTATGAAGATCTTTGGGGGATTAGGTAAGAGAGTTTTGTCACTTATCTATTTTTGTTCTCCTAATAAAACTTTAAACCTAACTACGTTAGACTGAAGTTCCAAGAGAAGTCATCCCAGCTGAAAACCTGACCTCAAGACAGGTGCTGAAGAGAGAAGAAGACAGGAAAACAAGTGAGAAAATAGACATTCAGCCTGGATTAAAATATACAGGATTGGCACTCATGAGTCTAATAATCATTGGAAAGAAAGAGGACTGAGACAAATACCAGGAATTTCACCAAGATACTACCATGCAGTTTCTTGAACTTATTCAATTTTAAAAAGAAATCCTCTGAAGCTTTATCAATAAAGCTGTATCAAAATTATTATCTACATTCTATTCTATCCCACATTCTCTCTCATCCCACAAGAGACCACAAAAGCTATCCCAGAGAAGAGAACAGGACTGGCGACAGAAGTTATAGGCCAAGCACCTGCTCCACTCCCGTACTAGGAACACAGCTGAGCCTGAAAGGCAACACAGGTTTCCCTGGGTACAGCCAAATGACACACATCTCCCTAAAAAGTCCCCTTTCCACACTCCTAATAAATCTACGCCTACCTTCTACTCCATCAACGGAAAGTCAATTGAGCTATTCTCAATACACACTGATATTATACATACACACACACATTGTGTAAGACCTCTGACCAATCCATTTCAGTTGGTATTTTGCACTGCTTTAAAAATCTCATACTAAGAAATCACATTTGGCTTTACGGAAATTAAGTTTCACCTTACTCTTGAAAACAGGCAAGAAAGTCCTAAAAATCAATAGTCTCTATTCAGACTCATAAAACCTGTTAATAACTAACTGACAATACAATATGGGCCAAGTATTGCTTATCCAAGAAGCACAACAGGACCACAATGCAGTACAGAACTCTGACAAAGCATTAGTGCACATTTTTAAGACTACACTATCTCAGGGTGCAGCTGGAGTTGCCCTTGTGTAGTATGGCCCTGCTGTCAGCAGCAGGCTTTCTACTGTCCTTCCCTCCTCCTCCTCGTTATTGGTCTCCCTTACACGTCTATGTACTTTTGACATGTAACATGCAGTAGGAGTATCTACCACGCTGAAATTCAGCTCAGTACTGTGGTATCCCCAAAATCCAAAGGTGCCGAACATATGCTTCATAATTACCACTCTCTGGCACAAGCAATGTTACTCCTCCCTCCCCGCATGATGCTGGCTAGCTTCTGTGGGTTTTTAAACAAGCAAGATGTAGGCTGTCCCTGCAAGAATCACAGCTGGTACTGCAACTGAGCCAAATACCTATCCCAGAAAGCACCACTCCATGCAGCTCATTTCCAGGTGTACCAGCATCACCCAGTCAACCTTAAACTAAGGAATTTTGAGACATTCAGTAGCACTTATTCACTTACCTAAAACATCACTATTTAATCAATCAAAGAATAGGATGGGAAAAATTGTGAATCCCCAAAAACAAACACCCATTCAATGCAGGGTAAACATAACCTGGTACTCCAGGTTAGGTAACA